CCACCCCGGAAAAAAAAAAAAAAAAAGCAGCTTCTAGTTTGTTGTTTCTCTTTTTTTTTTTTGGTACCAGGGATCAAACTCATGACCTTGCCCTTTCGAGGCAGGTGGGGGCACCACTGAGCTAAATCCCTGGCCCTTGAAAGTAACTTCATATGCACATATTATGCAGATATATACAAGTAGATGCCTATAGAAATGGCTGTGCACTATCTTGGCTGCTTTATGACTGTCAACTATGTTGAAGACAGTTTAGGTCAATAAAATAACATTTATTGTCTGTGTCACCTTTTTTTTTAGTGTGTATCACATATTTTGTGGGTGGGCTGTAATTCAAACAGTCCCATTAATGACCCTTTAGGGTTACAGTAAACACTTCAAGGGCATTGTGGTCCATACATCTTTGTGCATCAACCCAAAAGTACAAAGACAAATTCTGGATAGGAAACTGTGGGTCGGGGCATGTGTATGTCACCGACTCTCGTGACCATACTGCTCATTTCCCCTACTCTTGATAGCTGGACAGTGGTTGGTGGTTTTCTTTTCTTCCATTGGTTACTGGTGAGAAAGAATGAGTTTACCATATGCATCTTGCTAATTGCCTTTTCCTGATCTTTGCATTTTTTTCAGTCAGAGTCTTTGTCTTACTCTGAGCGCTTTGTAGTTGTGGAATGCTATCTGATATGTTTCTAGTATTTTCCTAGTCATAACAAAGGTTTGTTTGTATTATATTCCATCACGTAGGATATTTTTTCAATACTATGGATTGAACCCCGGTCCTTCACACTGAGCTATGTCCCGGCACTTTCCTTCGGAGACAAGGTCTCACTAAGTCACTAAAATGCTCAGGCTGGGCTTGAACTCATGATCCTCCTGGCTCAGCCTCCCACAATGCTAGGATTATTGGCTTGTGCCATCACACCAGACTGAAGTTTTGCATATTTTTTGCTTTTTGAGACAGGGACTCATTAGGCAGTTCAGGCTGTCCTTAACTCACTATATGTAGTCCAGACTGGCCTCGAACTCACAATGATCCTTCTGCCTTAGCTTTCTAAGTGCTGGAATTACAGGCGTGTGCCACCACCTCTGGCTGAAGTTTTACATTTTTATGCTGCTTTGGTATCATGTTTTAAAAACAGTTCTGTACCCCTAAGATGATCACAACAGTCATCTATATTTTTTTCTATTGCTCTCTTAATTATATATGCTATTTAAAAATCTTTGGCCTATTTGGAATTTACTTAAGAGTAAGATAAGAATATAATTCTTTCCTCTTCATCCCAGATGCCATGTATTGATTAAAGGGTCTATAGTCCACTTACGAGTTATGTACCCATTCACAGTAAATTGATTTCCTTTTTTTTTTTTTTTTAATTTTAAACTTTAAATTTTGGAGCAGTCTTGGTAAGTAGTGCATTCTGGACTTAAATTTGTGATCCTCCTGCTTCATCCTCCCAGAGTGCTAGAATTGTAGATGTGAGCCACCATGCCTGGCCTGATTGATTCTTTTTCAGGATTCTGAATTCGGTTTGCTTTCTCTGTGACTCTTCCTATGCTAACACCATACTATCTGTCTCTCTATTTATTCATTTTTGATACTGGGGATCAAATTCGGGACCTTGCACTTGCAAGGCAGGCAGTGACACCACTGAGCTAAATCCCCAGCCCAACACTTTTTAAATAACTGTAAATTAATCTGTCTCCAAGCCCTTCAAGTTTTCTGTATGTTAAGTATTTTTTTAAGAATCGATGGCACCTAACAAAGGTTGATAAAGTGATGGAGGGTAGAATGAAAGTGAAGTGGTCCTTGGGGTCTCTGTCTAGAGCTTTCTCTTTCCTTGATGAACATGCAGCTTCCTCGTAGGAGTGTGGTCCGAAACTGGGGAAGCCGGGGTGGTGCTGCACACTGGCGTTTGGAAGGCCGAAGCAGAACCGCCTGGTCTGTGTAGTAAGTTCACGGCCGGCATGGTTAAGAAAAGGAGCCTAGGGGAGCAGCCCCTACCTGAAAGACGTGCTAAATAGGCCAACTTTCTTGGACCTTGGCGAGTGGTGGGCAGAGTATCTGCTCCCACACTAGGCGAGGTGTGGGGTAGGACTCGGACCCACGTATCAGCGAAGCACTGCTCCCACCGGTAGTCTTGGCCCCGCGGACTCAAGCGTCCTTTTCATCAGTTGTGAGCTCTTTTGCCCATCTTGCCTTCTCTTGATTTGTTTCTATCCTGTTGCACGCCGTCACGCAGGTTGGAGTTAAACACGGTGTTATCTACTTGATCACCAAGTGCGGCTACCTTCATACGTACGACCTAGAGTCCGGCGTGTGCATTTACATGGACCGTATCAGCGCTGACCCAGTCTTTGTAACTGCTCCCCACGAACCTACCTCTGGGATTATTGGCGTCAACAAAAGAGGACAGGTGTGTGACTTGGAGGTTTCATTTCCCACCATCTCTGTTCACGGAAGACTGCAGCTTAGACTTTCCTCCTCTTCCAGAAGGGCCGGGACTTAGCTCAGTGGCACCACTCCTGCCTCGAAAGCGTCAGGTCCTGAGTTCAACAGCCAGTACCACAAACAGACAAACAAAAAACAACACATTGTGTCTGCGTCTCCCTTCGCCTTTGTATCATCATTTTCCCTCTTTACCCAACACTATTTCTTTTTCTTTTCTTTTTTTTTTTTTTTTTTTTTTTGGTACTGGGAATCGAACTCAGGTTCTTGGATTTGCAAGGCAGGTGGTAGAAACTACCCAGCACTAGCACTATTTCTTTTTTTTTGGTACCGGGGATTGAACTTGGGTCCTTGCACTTGCAAGGCAGGCCACCGAACCACTGAGCTAAATCCCTGGCCCGCCAGCACTATTTCTAAGACACAGTTGATTCTGAGAAGGGAGTAAGCAGCGCCTTCCTACATGAAATGTCTACTAGTGGAACCACAGTTCTAACACACAATGAATATCTTCATACCATGCATCTGTTGATTGGAGGAAGTAGGAAAAATAGATACTATGTTATCAAAGTTACTTTTCTCAAACAAAGTTAAAAAGAGAAGAAAATATATACAGTGATAAAAAAATTAGCAGAGCTAGGTATGGTGGTGCATGGCTGCAATCCCAGCACTCGGGAGGCTGAGGCAGGAGGATCACTCCAAGTTTAAGGCCAGCCTGGACTACACAGTGAGTTCAAGACCAGCTTGGAGTATAGTGAGACCCTGTCTCACAAAACAGAAAAGAAAATGCCCCAGTGATAACTGGACAGATCGTTTTAGTATCCTCAACAGCACATCCCTGTGATCAATGCCCATAGCACTTTACATTTCTCTCAGTTGGTTTGTTAAAATGAATTCTATTTTATCACACCCCCAGCCCCTTCTTTTGCTGTCCAGTGAGGTCACTGTTTAGGCACCTAGCCCCTATGTACCCTTCCACTCACAGGGTCCACACCACAGGCGTGTTCCGCACAAGCCTGGACCTCTGCTTGGACTGCAGCTCTGTGCGGGAGGGTGGAAGAGCGCGTGCGCGTGTGAGCAGAGCCCTCCTCACTTGGTGGGTCCTTACAGGTGCTGTCGGTTTGTGTTGAGGAAGAGAACATCGTGAACTACGCGACCAATGTGCTTCAGAATCCAGACCTGGGCTTGTGCTTGGCTGTGCGTGGTGACCTGCCTGGGGCAGAGGAATTGTTTGTGAGGAAATTCAGTGCTCTGTTCGCACAGGGCAGCTATGCCGAAGCTGCCAGAGTCGCAGCATCCGCTCCAAAGGTAATGAAGTTTGAACACTCTGCCATTCTGGAGATGCATGAAGAAACCTGGCAGTGAAATAAATTGTAACAGCACTTCGCTGTGGGTGTTGGAATATATTCATATTACCTTAGTGTGATTTTTAAAAATAGCACCATGTATTGGTACATTTTAGACATACGTAACACTCATCAGAGGAAGCTGCACCTGTGCATGATACCTCCTGCCTCCTTTTTCCATTCCCCCCACTCAATCTCCCCCTGTTTTCACTTTTCTTCTCGTCCCTCCCTTCCTTTCTCCCTCCCTCTCCCCGTGCCCCTTCCTATTTGAACCCTTTCTTCCCATTTCCCAACACCCATTATACATTTAGTCCCCATTTCTAGCTTTGGTTTCTCACACCAGAGAAACTGCAGAATTTAAACACGTGTGTCTGATTTATCTCACTTAAAAGTATGGCCTCACAGTGCATCCATTTAGCTATGAATGTCTCAAGCTCATCTTTCTTTATGTCAGATTAGTACCCATTGTGTAAAAAATTACATCTTTATCCATTCATCAGTCGATGGGCATTTGGGCTGTTTCCAAGATTTAGCTGCTATAAACAAGGGTGCACATATATTGCTGTACTATGATGCTTTTAATTCTTTTGGGAAGATACCAAGAAAGAGAATAGCTGGGTCAAACGGAACCTCTAGTTTTACTCTTTTGAGAAATCTCCACACTGATTTTCAGAGTGATTGCACCAGTCTACACTTCCATCAACAGTAGCGAAAGGTTCCTTTTTCCCCACAACCCCTCCAGCATTTGTTATTGGTTGATTTCTTTTGGGGGGCATTGAGACAGGGTCTCACTATGCGATTGAGGCTGACCTAGACTCACCTATGTATCCCAGGCTGGTCTCAAACTCACAGTGATCCTCCTGCCTCAGCCTCCCGAGTGCTGGGATTACAGGCAAGTGCACCACCATGCCCGGCTGGTTGATTTTTTGATAACTACCATTTTTTCTGGAGTGAGATGGAATCTCAGAGTTGTTTTAATTTGCTTCTCTCGAAGGTGATGTTGAACATTTTTTCATATATTTATTTCCTGTGTCCACTTATTCATCTGAGAAGTGTCTGTTCATTTTAGATGCCCATTTTTGGATTGAGTCTTTAAATTTGGGGTGGTCTAGCTGGGCGTAGTGGTGCACACCTGTAATCCCAGCACTCGCGAGGCTGAGGCAGGAGGATCGCTGTGAGTTCGAGACCAGCCTGGGATACATAGTTGAGTCTACGTCAGCCTCAATCGCATAGTGAGACCCTGTCTCAAAAAACAAAACAAAGAAACAAACAATAAATAAATAAATTTGGGGTGGTCTGATTTTTTTTTTAGTATTTTTATTTTTTAGTTCTTTATATGGTCTAGATAATAGTCCTTTGTCTGAGGAAGAGCTGGTAAAAATTTCTTCCCACACTGTGGGTTGTCTCTTCACTCTGTTGGTGTTTCTCTTGCTGTGCAAGTCTTCTAATGAGATAAGGTCCCAGTTGTTGATTCTTTGTAGTATTTCCTGTTCGGTATGGGTTTTGATCATCTACCCTTTGCCTGCTCCATATGTCCTCAAGCATTCTACCTATTCTCTCTTCCAGTGTTATGGAAGGAATTGGTAAGTGACACACAGAGACGCGCAGAATGGAAGTAAAATAAAAAGTTTATTTTGTCAACAAGGGTCCATCTCACTTAAGGGCAATGCCGGGATTGACCTCATATTGGGCTGCAGCTTCCCCTTTTATCGGGCTTTAGGGCCATGGTCTCATTCAGGTGGTTACATTTCATCCTCTAAGTTCACATTGTGATATACAAATCACATAAGAACAGTTATATTTCAACCCAGATGTAGCAATTCTTTGTTGTTAGGGGAGTTTACCTTGAAGGTTCACCTAGCTGTCTATCCTAGCCCATAGTTCCCAGTCTAGAAAGCAAAGTTAACAATGCCTCTTTTTTACCTTGACATTTTTACAGTCATGTCATTTACAGAACTTTGGAGCTCAGGGTCTTGATGTGCTCTGTCGTCTCAGGATGAGACCAGATGCCTTATTCAGTGGTTAATGCCTCCGGTGTCTGTTAATTCTGAACTAAATAAAGCAAACTGCTGTTAGAGACAGCAGAAGCCATTCTACATTGTGACATTTTGTAGATTTTTGCCATTTACAAGCAGATTTAGTGTTTCTGTCTTAATATTTAGATCTTTGATCCATTTCGATTTTAGGTTAGTGCATGGTGAAAGATACGGATATAGTTTCAGTCTTCATCATGTGGAAAGCCACTTTTCCCAGCACCATTTATTAAAGAGGCTTTCTTCTAGTGAAGGCGTTTGGCTCCTTTGTCAAAAATAATGTGTCTGAGTATGCCTGGAGTTGTTTCTGTGTCTTTTAATCTGTTCCATTGATCCTCAGGTCTGTTCTTTGTCATTACAGTGCTGTTTTTATCACAGCAGCTTTTTAGTACAATTTCATGTCATTGATTGTGACGCCCTGCCTTACCTTTGTTGCCTAGAATTGCCTTTGCTATTCCAGGTCTCTTCTGGTTCCAAATGAATTTTAGGATTGTTTCTTCTAATTATGTGAGATATGCTGTTGGGACGGTATTTAGATCAGTGGTGCCACCGCCTGCCTCGAAAGCACAAGGTCCTGAGTTCAATCCCCAGTACTCCCCCCACCAAAAAAAAAGAGATAGGCTGCTGGAATCTTGATTGGGATTGCATAGAATCTGTATACCAATTTTGAAAGTATGGCCGTTTTGACTATATTGGCTCTTCCTATCCAAGAACAAGGGATAGCTTTCCATTTTCTGATATCCTCTTCAATCTCCTTTTCCAGAGTACTGTAGTTTTCAATGTAGAGGTGTTTTACTTCTTTTGTTACATTGATTCCTAGGTATTTCTTTCTTTTTTTGGGGGGATGCTATTGTGAAAGGGGTTGTTTCCCTAATTTCTCTCTCAGTGAGTTTGTTATTTGTGTGTGGGAAGGCTGTTTATTTTTGAATGTTGACTTTGTATCCAGTTACGCTACTGAATTGGTTATCAAATCTAGAAGTATTTTGAAGGGGTTTGGGGGTCTTATAGGTAGAGTATTATGTCATCTGCAAATAGTGATGATTTGATTTCTTCCTTTCCTACCCTTATTCCTTTTATTTCCCTCTCTTGTCTAATTGCTCTGGCTAATGTTTCCAGACTGTATTGGACAACAGTGATGACAGTGGACATCCTTGTCTTGTTCTGGATTTTCTTTTTTTCTCTCCTCCTCCAACCCATCTAGGGATTGAACTCAGGACCTTGCCCTTGTGAGGCAGGTTTAGCACCATTGAGCTAAATCCCCAGTTGTTGCTGAGTGAAAGCTTTCAGTTTGTTTGTTTGTGGTACCTGGGATCAAACTCAGGACCTTGGCGCTTGCAGGCAGGCACGGTGACACTAAGCTACAACCTGGGCCCAATTTTTGCCCTTTTAGTATGATGTTAGCTGTTAGTTTGTTGTAAATGGCTCTTATCACATTGAGGTAAAGACCATCTGTAGTAATTTTCTGTAGGATTTTTATCACAAATGGTTGTTGGACCTTGTCAAATGCTTTTTCTGCATCTATTGAGAGGATCATTGTCTTTGAGAAGTTTTGTCCTTGGCTCTGTTAATATAGTGCATTACAGTTATTGATTTGCATATGTTGAACCACTTCTGCATCCCTGGGATGAAGCCTACTTGGTCATGGTGTATAAACTTCTTGATGATTTGCTGCATTCTTTTTTCCAGTATCTTATTGAGAATGTTTGCCTCTACGTTCATTAAGGAGATTGGCTTGTAGTTCTCTTTTTTTGGTTGGACCCTTCTCTCCTTTTGGTATTGGGGTAATGCTTGCTTCCAGGAATGAATTTGGAAGTAATTCTTTCCTTTCAGTTTCATTAAAGAGTTTGAGAAGTAGCAGTACTAGCTCATTTCTAAATTTCTTGTAGGGTCGGATTTAGCTCAGTGGCACTGCGCCTGCCTCACAAGGGCAAGGTTCTAAGTTCGATCCCTGGTACCTGGGGTGAAGAAAAGAAAAAAATAAATAAATTTCTTGTAGAATTTAGTCATGAATCCATCAGGGCTTTTCTTTGTTGGTAGGTTTTTAATTACATCTTCAATTTCATTGGCTGATACTGATTTAGAGTTTTTATATTGTTTTGATTCTGTTTTGGTAATTCATATGTATCTAGGAATCTCTGTTCTGTATATTCCATCTTATCAGAATACAGGTTCTTAGCTGGGCATGGTCCACACCTGTAGTTCCAGCACTCGGGAGGCTGAGGCAGAAGGGTGCTGTGAGTTCAGACCAACCTGGGCTACATAGTGAGTTCCAGTTCAGTCTCAACTACACAGTGAGACCCTGTCTCAAAAAACAAAACAACAACAACAAAAAAAAGAAAACAGGTTCTTAAAGTAGGTATTGATGATCTTCTGGATTTCTGCAGGATCTGTTTTGATTTCACATTTTTTAATCCTAATTGCATGGAGTTGAGTCTTTCCTTTTTTGATAAGACTGGCTAAAGATTTTTCAGTTTTATTTAATTTTTTAAAGAACCAACTCTTCTATTCATTGATTCTTTATATATTTTTTAGTCTCCAGTGCGTTAGTTTCTTCTCTGGCCTTTGTGATTTCCTCTCTAATGCAGGGATGGGGCTGACTTGCTCTTCTTTATCTAGAAGCTTGATGTTCCACATTAGGCTGTTTGTGCGAGCCTGCTGTTTCCAGATACGGTACTCACCACTCTGGATTTCCCTCACAGAACCGCTTTCCTTGTGTCCCACTTGGCTAATGACGTACAGTCAGCAGTAGTCACCTCACTTCTGCAGGCTTGACCTGCTGTCCTCACGCCGAGCCAGCGTCTGGACTCTGGGAGAGAGCGCTGCTTGCTGCCACGCGCACCCCATGGACTTCAGTTCTCACTTCAGACCCTTCCTGGGTCCTGGGGACCCACTTCCGTCCTCCTCCTCCCCTCACACGCTGTATTCCAGTGTCAGAGAGGGTCTTTCTGTGCTGCTCACGCTCGGCCTTCTTTCCAGGAGTCTGTATTAGTGTGCTTGTTCTTCAGGGCACGTGTTTGTACTGACTGTAATGGAAAGAAAAACAAAAAGCACAGCATCGCTGCACTAATACTCTCTTCTGTGTTTCTGTTCTTATCTGTGTGCATGCGCGTTCCTAGCCTAGCATCTTATCTGTGTACATGTTCACTTTTTGGTGATTCAGTTTTTCCACTCTTGCTGCCTAAGAGTTACATATATAACTGTAATACACTAGATGGCTGTGTCTACTTTTTTAAAAAAATGATTTTAGTTCATCAGTACATGAGTATAGTGTATTCTTTAAGGGAAGTTGATGCATGTATGTAGCACATCTTAATTCTTTTTTTCATCCCTTTTCCCTTCCCTCTCTGTTACCTCCACTCACCCCTTCATCCCCATCCTATTTCTCTTTTTTGGGGGGTACATGTTTGCAGGACATATGTTTATATTCCTTGTATGGAGTTGGTACATGTACATAACATATCTCAATTCCTTTTTACATCTCTTATCTCTTTCCTGTCGTCCCTGTCCCTCCTCTTGATCCCCTTCCCCTTTGAGTGATCAGTCTCCCTCCTGAGTTTGTCACGTAAGAGAAACAGTGTGATAGTTAAGCTAGTGTGTCTGATTTATTTCACGTCAGATTATTATTCAAGTTGGTTCTCTTTGAAAAAAAAATTGTTTCTATCTTTCAGTTGATGGTTTTGAACACCCCCCACCCCCGGTCTTTCTTCTTGACAGGGTCTTGCTCTATAGTTCAGGCTGGCCTTGTACTCACTGTGTTGCCCAGGTTAGCCTCAAACTTGTGGCAGTCTTCTTGCCTCAGCCTCCTGAGTGCTGAAAGCTGGGGTTACAGGCAGGCGCTGCCTCACCTGGCTCTGAATAAACTATTTCTAGTCTTCATCTGGAACTCTGAATACTTTTTGGGGCCTAGATAGAGTTAAGATTTTTTTTCCCAGTACTGGGGATCAGACTCAGGACCTTGCACTTGCCAGGCAGGTGTGGCACCTCTGAGCTCTATATCCCTGGCCTTTGAATACTTTGAATTAAAATATAATGGTGGTAAATTTTCACTACTACAAGACCAAGTTAGAGAACTAATTATCACATCCATCTGCTAGTGGAGAAGTAAGAGGTGAAATGTGAAGTCACATCTAAGGGTCTACCTAAGAGATAGACCTTCTATTGAGATTTGGGGGGAGGGTACCGGTGATCGAACTCAGGACCTTGCACTTGCGAGGCACGTGGTGGCACCACTAAGCTAAATTCCCAGCCCCTGTCATGATTATTAATGGTTTTGAAAGCACTTGGTTTGGTAGAGGACCTTTTGTCCCTTCAAGTCAACATAGCAGTCTATTGGCAGATTCTTTTAAATACAAGCAAGTTAAGAAGTAGGATGCCCTCCTGAGTTCAATCCCCGGTACCAAAAAAAAAAAGAAGTAGGATGCCCTGTGATTACAGCAGAAAATATGTGCATTTCTATTTATTTTCAGGGAATTCTGCGTACCAGTGACACAGTTCAGAAGTTCCAGAGTGTATCTTCTCAGCCAGGCCAAGCTTCTCCTTTGCTCCTGTACTTTGGAATCCTGCTTGACCAGGGTCAGCTTAATAAACTTGAGTCCTTAGAGCTTTGCCAGCTGGTTCTTCAGCAGGGACGAAGGCATCTCTTAGAAAAGTGGTTGAAAGAAGATAAGGTAGGAGGCAAGAAGATTATTTTGAGTCTGAGGCCAGCCTGGGCTACATAGTGAGTTCAAGGCCAGCCTGAACTATATAATGAGAGTCTGTCTCAAAAAATCAAACCATGATTTCATTATTTATTTGTTTGTTTGTTTGGTGCTGGGGATTGAACTTGGGACCTTGCACTTCTGAGGCAGGCAGTGGCACCACTGAGCTAAATCCCCGGCGATAAAAAAAAAAAAAAAAAAAAAAAAACCCAAAAAACAAATAGCCAGGTGTGGTAGTACACATCTGTAATCCCAGCACAAAGGAGACTGAGGCAGGAGGATCGCTGCAAGTTTGAAGCCAGCCTGGGCTACACAGTGAGTTTAAGGCTGGCCTGAACTGCATAGAAAGACTCTTGTTTCAGAAAAAAATACAAAAAAAGAGAGAGAAGACAAAATAAGGTAAAAGGAAGAGGAGGTCACAGGCACAGTTCTCCTTGGGTCCTAATTGTGCATTTTCCTTTGCCATGCACAGCTGGAGTGTTCAGAGGAGCTGGGAGATTTGGTCAAAACTTCTGACACTACGCTTGCTCTGAGTGTGTACCTTCGGGCAAATGTGCCAAGCAAAGTTATCCAGTGTTTTGCAGAAACTGGCCAATTCCAGAAAATTGTGCTCTATGCCAAAAAGGTAATGGAGGTCTAAGCGCTGGTGTTGGATTGTGGGTGAATGGTTGTTTATGGAGTTTATAAAATACTTTCTATGTAAGTATCTCAGTGTGCAAGAATCACCAGTGTTGGGCTGTGCCTGCCTGGCAAGCATAAAATCCTGAGTTCAGTCCCTAGTGCCACAAAAAAAAAAGAATTGTCAGTGAGTGCCAGCTGGGTGTGGTGACGCACACCTGTGATCCATCCCAGCACTCAGGAGGCTGAGACAGGAGGGTGGCTGCAGGTTTGAGGCCAGCCTGAACTACAAAGCAATACCCTGTCTCAAAAACAAAATAAAACAAAACAAAACAAAAAATTGTCATTGCTGAGGAGCAGGCACCAGTTGGCTAAGAAAAGGGGTCTACATTTCCTTGCCTGCTGAGATTCGGGAAGCAGCCCTGGGTCTGCTTGGCAGACCTCCAACCAGCCAAAGACTGCTTCATGTTTGTAGCTGGGGTAATGTGGCAGTGGTGCTAAACTGAAAGCCTGGAGTTGAGAGATGAAGAAGTACAAGTGGCTGATAAATACATATGAAAATGTTCAGCATTGCCGGCCATTCGGGAGATGCAAAGCAAAACAACATGAAGATTCCATCTGGGCTGGAGACTTAGCTCAGTGCCGCCGTCTGCCTCACATTCAATCCCTGGTACCCCCCAAAAGATTCCATCTCACCCCAGAAAAACAAATCAACCAGTAACGAATCCATGCTGGCAAGGCTGTGGGGAGAAAGGAACACGGCCTCGCTGTTGAAGTATAAACTGACACAGCCGCTATGGCAGTCAGGGTGGTGATGCCTCAAAACACTAAACATAGAAATTCCGTTTGATCTAGCTATACCTCTTTTATGTATCTTCCCCAAAGAGTTAAAAACATCCTGCCATTGCCAGGCGTGGTGGTGCACGCCGTAATCCCATTACTCAGGAGGCTGAGGCAGGAAGATTGTTGTGAATTCAAGACCAGTCTGGGCTACATAGTAAGTTCAGGGCCAGCCTGAACTATAAAGTGAGACCCCGCCTTTAAAAAAAAATCGTACCCGTGATGTATGCACAGCCATGTTTATAGCAGCACAATCCGTAATAGTTAAATCCTGGAAGCAGTTTATATGCCCATCAACAGATGAATGGTTGAAGAAAATGTGATAGCAGTGGAGGACTTCTCTGCTGTAAAGAAAGATAAACTTGAAGCATTTGTAGGAAAATGGATGCACCTTGAGACCGTAATGTTGAGTGAAGTAAATCAGACACATAAGCTTAAATATCATGTTTTCTCTTATATGAAAAAGTTAATACAACTAGGGCATGAAATAAAAGACAGAAAATAGGGAGAGAAAAAAGCGATTGTATTCTACATATATATATTTCTGCTGTTGCCTTCTAGTTTTACTTCGTTATGGTATGAAAGCTCATGCTGAAGATTTCCATTTCTTTGGCTACGTTATGGTCTCTCTTGTTGTTATGAACGTGGTCTACTTGAGCAGCTTTTTCTGATTGCTGTTTTCTCACTTCCAGGTGGGATATGCCCCAGACTGGATCTTTTTGCTGAGAAGTGTGATGTGGGTCAGTCCTGAACAGGGTCTGCAGTTGTCCCAAATGCTGGTGCAGGATGAGGAGCCACTGGCCAACATAAATCAGGTAAGCACAACCTGGTGGAGTCAATATTTTGTGCCTTTTAGAGGCATCAAGAGGAGATCTCTCCCCTCCTCCCTCTCCCTCTCCCTCTCTCTCTCTCTCTCTCTCTCTGTTTCATGGTACCAAGGATCAGACCCAGGATCTTCACATTGAACTACAGGCCTTGCTCAGTTGCCCTGACTGGGCTCCGAAACTCAATCCTTAGCCTCCAGAGTCCTGGAATGATAGATACGTACCACCATGCCTAGTTTACCTTTGTTCTGAAATATGTTGAAGGATTTGTGTGTTAGTTACAAGGGTTTTGTTGTTGAAATAGTGGTTGCTAGTAGGGCATGAGGCTGTCATTTGAGCATGGAGCCCACTTTTCACATCATCAGTTACGACCTTACTGTCTCTCTGGGACACACAGCACTGGACTCTGCCTGAGCTCCACTGCAGATGCTGGCAAGTTACTCAGATTTGGCTCTTGTAGCTGTCTGCCTGCCCAGATTTATGTGATGACCAATCTTTTTAGTATGACTTTTTTTTTTTTTTTTTTCCCGTATCGGGGATCAAACTCGGGTCCTTGCGCTTACGAGGCAGGCACCAGAACTACTGAGCTAAATCCCTGGCCCTTCACTTATTTAATATTTATGTGTAAACACACAGCAAGTAACTTCTGGGAAATAATGTAGGTTTATAGCAAAGCTTGAAATGGCGATAAAACTTAACAACTTGCCTAGAGATAGTAAGTGCAATTATATTGGGTTTGTACATTTGTAAATTTACAGGTATTTTACTGATGGTGGATAAGAATTTTGAGCCAAATTTATTTAGCCCTCAATGGGAAACAAGTCTCCATTTTATTTTTATTTTTTTGGTACCGGGGATTGAACTCGGTTCCTTGTGCTTGCGAGGCAGGCGGTGGAACCACTGAGCTAAATCCCCGGCCCCGAAGTCTCCATTTTAAATCTTGATCATATTTCAAAGAAATTTTTAAATTTTCCTCATGTACTTCAAGTATAGAAATAATTACATAGTTGCTAAAGTTATTGCTTATATTTCTCTTCCTATTAAAGTTTATTCCTTAAATTAGCATCCATTTTAATTTAATAATTGATGTCTAAGTAAATGCTTGCATTTTTCCATTTGTGCCTAAACAGTGATGGTATTGGCTGTCTTTAGGTTTGATTAATTATTGGTTGATACTTTGGATTACTTCAGAGGATTCTGGTTGTTCATGTTATAAAAAGTTTCTCTTTAATCCACTATAGTATCTTGTCCTATTGATGAATATGGCATCGGTAACATGGTTTCACAGTATTACCTTTTTTTTTTTTTTCACTACCGGGAATGGAACTCAGGACCTTGCACTTGGGAGGCAGGTGGTGACACCACTGAGCTAAATCCCCGACCCCAATTATTGAATTTCTAACTGAGATTCTGTTTCAGGAACTATTTCAACAGGAAAATAAAACACTGCTTCCTTTGAATGAAAACGTGCCTTGGATCTTTGCAGATTGTGGACATTTTCGTGGAAAACAGTTTAATTCAGCAGTGTACTTCTTTCTTGTTGGATGTCCTGAAGAATAATTGCCCGGCTGAGGGCCACCTCCAGACTCGGCTATTAGAGATGAACCTGATCCACGCACCCCAGGCAAGTGACATCTGCAGCCTAACACCAAGGAGCAGAGCACCTCCCATACCTCTGTGTGGGCTGTGTATACCCCAGTACAGGCTTTGGCTAGGCTATGCTTTCACCAAGGGTTCATCTTGGTACTTTTTAGTGTATATTCTCTGTGACTTCCCTACCAGCTTCTCCGGAAGTCATGGTGCAAGACTTTCATGGAAATAGTTACAATCAAGGGAATAATTTCTTCCTTTTTTCTGTTTTTTCTTTATGATAAATATGGATAATATGTATACCATTCTCACAATTTTTAAATTAGTAGGGGTTTTATTTTGTTTTGTTGGTACTGAGAATCAAACTCAGGGCCTCATGCTTACCAGGCAGGTGCTGTACCGCTGAGCTACATCCCTGGTCACATTCAAGACAGGGTTTCAGGTTGCCCAGGCTGGCTTTGAACGTGTCAGACCTTCTGTCTCAGCCACCCAAGTAGTTGGGATAGCAGGCATGTACCACCCAGCTATTTCTAGAATTTTTCATCATCCCAGAAAAGAACATTATAACTACTGCCAGTAACTCCCTATTCCCTCCCGTCCCCAGTATTTCTGTCAACCAGTATTCTGCTCTCTGTTTCTATAAAAATGGTTATTCTAGTTAGTTCATATAAAGGAAATCTTAAAACATTTGTCTTTTTGTTTGGCTTGTTTTTATTTAGCTTTTTTTTTGGTACCGGGGATTGAACTCGGGTCCTTGCGCTTGCAAGGCAGGCCACTGAACCACTGAGCTAAACCCCCGGCCCTAGCATATTATTTTCAAGGTTTATCCATATTATAGCATGTATTGGAAATTTATTTTTCTATTCTTTTTTTGAGACAAGGTCTTACTATGTAGTCCACACTGGCCTCAAATTCATAATTTTCCTGCCTCAATCTCCTGAATGCTGAGATTACAAGCATGTACCACCACACCCAACAAAAATTCCAACTTTTTAAAATTAAATTTATTTTACTCTGTTTTTGAGGGGGGTACGGGGATCAAGCTCAGGACCTTGCACTTGCAAGGCAGGCTGTAGCACCACTGAGCTAAATCCCTGGCCCTTTTTCAGCTTTTTGAGACAGGGTCTTACTATGTGTGGTTCATGCTGACCTTAATTGAACTCACAGTGTAGCCCAAGCTGGCCTCAAACTCATGGCAGTGCTCCTGCCTCAGCCTCCCAAGTGCTGGGATTGGAGGTGAGCACCACCACACCCAGCTCAGAAATTGCATTTTTAAGACTGAATAGTATTCAGTTGTGAATATATATCACATTTCATTTATCCATTCATGTAAAACACATGGGTTGTTTTTACCTCTGAGCTAATGTGAACAGTGAATGTGTAGCTATTCCTTCAAGACTCAGCTTTTGGATCTATTCCCAGAAGTGGAATTGGTGGATCTTGGGGTTTTTAGGTTCCCGCTAGTAATGCACAAGGATTCTGATCTCTCCACTTCCTAGCACTTTTTTCTTAATATCTATTTGAATGGGTACAGGGGATCTCACTCTGCTGGGGATCATTTTTCTGCCTGAAAGGTGTGGGGAAGCAGCTGCGATCAGATTACATGTATATGCTAGTTTTGCTTAACTGTTTGGCTACATAGTATGAGAAAGGGGTGTGGAGGAATCTATATCAGCCTATTTTAATCAGAGTTTTTGTACCTGGATAAGATTGTAGCAGTTTACTTTATTCTTCACTTATCTGTCCTTTTTTTTCCTTAATCACATGCTGACTTGAAATTAGGAAAGAGTGTGTTAATTTTATTCCCTCAGTTTGTTTAAATCCGTAAGTCAGTGGCTAAGTGGGTCATACTCCACCTCAAGAAAATAAAAGCTATGTTAATTTAGTCTTTGGTGCATTTAGACTCTCATGACTTGGTGATTATATGTGATAGACACCAAATACCACTTAGAAACTCAGTGGTCAAACCCCGAGGAGCACCTGCACCCCAGGGTTACACAGCATTTGGGCATGGTGAGGGCGCGGTGCCCAACACAGTGAAGTCGTCTTCTCCGGATGGTGGGCGCTGGGAGGTACCTCCGCCTTTGCCCATCTGTGCCGTCTAAATTTTCTAAAACATTAGATCACTCTGATGATGCAGACCTATGACCCCAGCCCTTGGGGCAGGGAGGCAGGAGGGCAACAAGTTCAAGGCCAGCCTGGACCGCGTAGTGTAGTGAGACGCTGTCCCTAAAATAAACACAAAAGCAAAATTCTCTAGAATACATTGTTGCCCTAAAAAAGGGAAGATATTAAAAAAACAAGATAGTAAGGAAAGGTCAGAAGCAAACAAGGGACAGAGGAAGCAGGTTAAGTGCCAGGAGTTCAGAAGCTTAGGACTCGACTCGGTTTATCATGAATTCCATGGAGAACCATACAGGTAGGTACTAGAGCAGTGTAGTCTCAGCTGTGTCCAGTCCCGTATTTGGTCAGTGTTTTGCTTACTAGAAAGGCTAGGAAAGAGTATGCTGGCTGCTGGCGAAGACATCCAGGAATGTGTCTTGTCAGAAGTAGCTGCTAGTTAAGAGATAAACAGAGAGCGCGCTGAAAGGATGCAGGGTTGGTATGTTGACTGATACAATCTTAGCCCACAAAGTTGTCTTTGTGTGTGTTGTTGTTTTGTTTTGTTTTGAGACAGTTTTGCTATGCAGTTCAGGGCTGGCCTTGAACGCTGTGTAGCCCTGGCTGACCTCAAACTCAGCAGTCCTCCTGCCTTACTTCATGAGCACTGGGATTACAGGAATGCACCACCACGTCTGCTCCCACAGGGTTTTAAAAGATGTGGTCAGCACCCCATAAGGAGTGGTTCCTGAGCCACACCTTACCCGAGGGGACCTGATGGAGCAACTGCTCTTAACAAGTTATTGTCACCTTCCGGCTCTTACTGAAGTTGCTGTTTCACAGGTTGCAGATGCCATCCTTGGGAATCAGATGTTTACACATTATGATCCGGCCCACATTGCCCAGCTCTGTGAGAAGGCGGGTCTCCTGCAGCGGGCACTGGAGCACTACACTGACCTCGGTGACATCAAGAGGGCCGTGGTCCATGCTCACCTCCTCAGTCCTGAGGTATGGTATACCACCGGGACATGTCCCTTGTGTAGTCCTTTATGTCACGTCCTCTAACATCTGTTTGGGCTTTGGGGATCAGATGTGCCAAGAGCACAGACGGACCTCATCTACACAGCAGTGTCGAGGCCCCGTGTCACTTTTTTCCCAAATTCCTACCTCTGGCTTAGTCTAACAGGAAGAATAGAGATAATCTTTTCACACTGACAATCTGTTAGCACTTCTGAAACCATTAACAAAACTAAATTAGCTCATGTTTTTCCATTTACCAAAAACTTTTTTATACCAACTGTGAACTATTCCAGGATGAATAGTTTTGTTTTGTTTTTGGGTACTGGGAATCAAACTTAGGACCTTGCACTTAAAAGCAGGTGCAGCACCACTTTGGTAAATCCCCGGCCCGAGGATGAGTAAGTCTAGGTCGGTGTCTTATTCCAGGTTTACTCCTTGCTCTCACTTTTCACCGTGATAGATGGCTGCTTTTCAATCCTGTTAAGAAGAAATTCTTTATATTTGTGACACTTGGGATGGCACGAGACCTGACGACCTAGTTGCGTCCCCAGTGTTACCGGCATTTGCAGTCGTGCACAGCTGCTTAAAGACTCCTCCTTTGTTCCCAGTGGCTCCTCAGCTTCTTTGGCTCCTTGTCAGTAGAGGACTCCCTGGAATGCCTGCGAGCCATGCTGTCTGCTCACACCAGACAGAACCTTCAGCTGTGTGTGCAGGTGGCCTCCAAGTTTCATGAGCAGCTGGGTACACAATCCCTGGTGGAGCTCTTTGAATCTTTCAAGAGTGACGAAGGTAAATTGTACAGCTCTTCCACCTTGCTACTGCAGCTAGTTTCCTCGTTGCTTCTAGCCGCTCAGTCAAGGGGAAAATGTTCCTGCCATCTCATGGATGTTACTGGACTTCAGCAACCTTTCAGGTTATTTCCACAGAAAGAAATCGGACTGGTTTGCCCTGGCATTGGAAGACTTAGAATGCCCCTTGTATTCCTGGAGCCTCTGAAGCCCTCATCTCTGCGTTGCAGTCTGGCACAGAATTTTTCTCACGCCCTGTACTACTTGTCCTAGGTCCTAGTGGAAAGGCCTGGTGTTTGATCTAGTCACCTGAGAGACAGCACACAGTGGAGGGCCGCCATTATGTGGTGTGTGTTAAACAGTTACCTTCCTTTCCTTTCTGTGGGTGTCACACGAGAAAGAAGGCTACAGGTAGAATGGCTTTGTTGGGAACAAGTTAGGTCTTTTCTGGGGAGCCAGGGCAGAACTTCCTGTGGATGAAGAGGTCTGAGTGGGCCCTTGGTACTGGGACGTGGAGAAAGGTCATTACAGTCTCAGCCATCAGGGGAAGGTGGGCGGCAGTCTTGGAGAAGGCAGGTAAATATTAGGAGGAAAAACATGGCACTGTCTCTTTTCATAGGCCTCTTCTACTTCCTGGGCTCCATCGTGAACTTCAGCCAAGACTCAGCTGTGCATCTGAAGTACATTCAGGCAGCTTGCAAGACAGGGCAGATCAAAGAGGTGGAGAGGATATGTCATGAGAGCAGCTGCTATAACCCAGAACGAGTGAAGAACTTCCTGAAGGTGCGTCCAGTAGCACCTCCCTCCCCAAGCTACGCTCCTGGGTCGCAGAGGTGGGCATGCCATAGCCAACCGTCGTAAGAGGCAGTTTGTCCAGACCGTGTTTCCATCGTCTCTAACGTAGAGCTCTGCCTTAAAGTCTAAGGCTCTTAGAAGGAAAAAACATTGTAGAACGAAGCACCAAGTTGTCTGTACTCTTGGTATCCGACATGTGAGTGGAGGCAGTGTTCCTTCGTTGTATTTTAGCAGGATCCCTAGTGTGCCCTTGATTTGACTCAGGGAAGTGCAGTAACAGACCGCTCAGTGTGAGAGCCACGAAGAACAAGAAGTCTGCTTGTCCCTCATTCAGCAGTCCTGGTTGGCAGTTGGCGTGAATGGGACGGCTTTCCTCGGCACCACCCTTCAAACGCCAGGCACATGGCTGTGTGGCCGTCCTGTGCAGTGTGTCTTATGTGTTGACCTCATGGCAACTGGAAGGAGAGAAAAGTACGGAGTGATAGAGCAGAATTTTTTTGTTTTGCTTTTTGAGACAGGGTCTCACTATGTAGTTGAAACTGACCTGGAACTCACTGTGTAGCCCAGGCTGGTCTCGAACTCACAGCAATCCTGCCTCAGCCTCCCGAGGGCTGGGAATACAGGCCTGCACCACCACGCCCGGCTAGCAGATGGTTTTTATAGCTGAGGCTTGTGGGTGGCAAGTGACACTTTGATTCTTGTTCCCTTGAGAAAATAAGGTCATATATTTCCAGGGAACATGAAAAATAAAATCTATGTATGAGTCCAAATGGGGCGGTGTGATTTTGGTGGCCTACTGGCTCTTCTGACAAGGTGCCATTATGATTTGGGGACTGAGCTTGGATGGGGGGCACCCCCTGCTATCCCACCCTGAGGCTGCTCTCTGTAAGGGCAGCTCTTACTCCAGGCTTTGTGGGGTTTTTTGGGTTTTGTTTCGTGTGTGTGTGTGTGTGTGTGTGTGTGAGAGAGAGAGAGAGAGAGACAGAGAGAGAGAGAGACAGAGAGAGACAGAGAGAGACAGAGAGACTGTTTCTGGTACCAGGGAATGACCTCGGGACCTTGTGCTTGCAAAGCAGGTGCGGTGCCACTGAGCTAAGTCCCCGGCCCTCTGGGCTTTCTGTTCTTGAGGGCCACCTCTTTTGTGCTGGGCTGGTACAGTGTCTGCCAGTGACAGGGAACCTTTTAGAGCTTTTTGATGACACAGCCCTCTGTAGCATGCATGCCATAGGCTCACCACCACTGTCTTAACCCAAACGATATTTGGATTTGTACACATTTGGAAAGTTACTGTCACTGTCAAATTTAGCAGAGTTCTCTTTTCTATAACCAAGCACTATTGCCTTATCCCCATTTGTTTCCCAAAGCAAACACTGTGTCCCCCAGTGTCCATGTCTTAGCTGCCAGCTTTATCCCCCACAGGGTCCCTGTTGCACAGACAGTGCCGTCCCATGTTGGGATGTGACCCCAAGCCTGGCTCTAGAGGGTCCTTGCTCCCTCACCTGTTCTGTGCTCCAACCCTCAGGATGTCAAGCTCGCAGACCAGCTGCCCCTCATCATCGTATGTGATCGCTTCGACTTTGTCCACGATCTTGTCCTCTATTTATACCGCAACAACCTGCAAAAGTACATTGAGATTTATGTTCAGAAGGTACTGATGGGCTACTGTGGGTTCCCAGGGTGCACCTAACAGACTGCCTCTTCCCCTGAATATTTCGGAGACTGTCACTTTGAAGGGTGGTGTATTAACCTCAGGCTGCAAGACTGAAATGCCACAGACTGTGTAGCTTAAAGGACAGAAATTTATTTCTCCCAGGTCAATGGGCCAGAAGTCCAAGAATAAATTGCTGGCAGATTTGGCTTCTGCTAGGGTTCTTGGGACTTGCAAATGGCCACCTTGGCACTGTGTCCTCAGATGGCCTTTCCTCTACATGCTTGTGCTCTGTTGTCTCTTCTTCCAGGGACACTAGGCCTATGGGATTCTGGCCTTACCCTCAGCATTAGTTACACCTTTAACAGCCCTGTGTAAATACTGTCTCATTGGGGATTAGGGCTTTGACATAGGAAGTCTGGTGAAACACAGTTCAGTTCTGAACAGATTTTTACTCACAATGTCCAAGTCTTAGGGGCTTCTGCCAATGTCCTGCGTCTGCAGCACTGAAATTGCTACCTTGACTGTTCTAGGTTAACCCTCGTCGGCTCCCAGCTGTAGTTGGAGGGCTGCTTGGTGTGGATTGTTCTGAAGAAGTAATTAAAAACCTAATCACTGTGGTAAGAGGACAGTTCTCTACTGACGAGCTGGTGGCTGAAGTAGAAAAAAGAAACAGGTAAGGTATCCCTGTGGGTGTCTTCTCTTGCCTCGTGTTTGTTGTCTGTTTCTCCAGGGCGCTGTCGGCTGGGCCTCCAGGCCCTAGCGCTGTCTCTGTGGCTGTTCTTTCATGTAAAGAATGAGTTGGTGCTAAAGACCCTAGGGAAAAACTTAACAGTTGAAATCAGTTTGGAATCCATGTCTCTCTTGATTCCTAGAACAACTGAAAGTGAATGGAGTGATATTTTGTTTTGATTTGTTTTAAGGACCACCTCGCAGGCTGGGCATAGAGTCGTACACCTACCATTCCACCTACTGGAGAGGCTGAGCGGGGAGGATCTAAGTTTGAGGCTACCCTGGCCAACTTACCAAGACTCGGTCTCAAAGTTAAATTTTATGTTTTAGAATAAATTTTATTTTATTTTATCCTGTCCCCACACAAGCCCCCCTCCTCCCTATGTACAAAAGTTTTATTTCCGTTTTCCCTTTTTTTCTTGTCCCTTCTTTCCTTTCTCTCTTCCTCCTCCCTCCTTCCCATTTGAACACTTTCTTTCAAAATTAAAATTTAAAAAAGGGTGTATCATTTGGGGAGCTCTGAGTTTAATCCATAGCAATGCCAAAAAAAAAAAAAAAAAGTCAACTCTCAGAACCTAGGGGTCACCCTGGAGTTTCCAGTGGCAGCCTTTTGACTTTTATATTATCTGCCTTCCTTCAAAGGCTGAAGTTGTTACTTCCCTGGTTGGAGTCCCGGATTCATGAAGGCTGTGAGGAGCCTGCCACTCACAATGCACTGGCCAAAATCTACATCGACAGCAACAACAGCCCCGAGCGCTTCCTGAGAGAGAACGCCTACTATGACAGCTGCGTCGTGGGCCGGTACTGTGAGAGGCGGGACCCACATCTGGCCTGTGTGGCCTATGAGCGGGGGAAGTGTGACCTTGAGCTCGTTCAGGTGGGCAGCAGGTGTTTTTGTATGCTTAACTGCCCGTGCTGCTCTGGACTCGTGGGCCAGGCATCTAGAGTATGCCTAGGGCACTGATCAGGGCGTTCCGTGTACCCAGAGGTGGCGGGACATAGGAACATTTCCGTGCACTCGCTTGCTCTGTAATTCTGACATTCTTCTGGGACCTGCTTGTGCCCTGTTTCTATGTACTATGTCTGTGGGCCTGCGTGGTCCGTCACCTCTCTGCTTAGAGTCCTCGGCGTTACCCGGTGACTTGAGATTGACCTGGAACTCTTTAGCCTGACCCAGGACCGCCTCCGTGGACTCTCCCTCCACACACTGACCCAGTTAGCGTCCCTCCCTGCTGCCCCACCCAGAATGGTCCGCATTCCTCCGTCAGCCCCAGAAGACCACTCTGCGCACGCCCTCCGCGTCTCTTCCCAGACCGCTCGCTATTGCTGGCACTGAAACGTTTGCCTCGTCTCCTGCCAGCATTTCCCAGGCTGGATCTGCATGCACGTAATTATGTGTATAGGTGGAGCCATATGAACTATTGGTGCTTTAGCCATCGGAGCTAAAGATCCAGAGATTTCATGTGGTTGAATGCAATGTTTGTTGACCTGTAAGCTCCTTGGAGGTATTTGGCCTGCTTGTCCCAAGTCCCTCAGAGCCCTTGCTAAACACTCAGCAGCCAGAGATGGCATTTGTTAGGTATGCGTGTGCAGAGTGGGAGATGGAGGACAGTTCTCCTTCTGCCCTAGTTTGTAGATAAAGTGGCCGGAGGGCTGAGTGGACTTATCCTATTACCTGGCAGCCTCTGAGGAACTGGTTTCTGTAAAGCTGGGACTTTTCCTTAGTTTGATACCGCTAAGCCATTTTTGTCTTATGAAAGCACAGGTTAGTGGCCTCTGTGAGATGTTAGCACACACATGTGCTATGAGGCAACATGTTCTTTTGTTAAGACCAAGTTTAAGTGGCCCAGAGGTGCTCATTCAGGTCCTCTCTGTCCAAGATAAGGCTACAGTGTGCATTAGGCTCTGTGCCAGTCTGCTCTTGGCTCCTGTCCTTACACACAGGCAGCCCACATCACCTTTGCAGTCACACAGGTCACTCAGCCCTGTATATGGTACTGAAGGGAGATTCTTATCAAGACTTAACAAATGCCTTACACCTTGAAACATCCCCGTGGATAGCTGGTGGTTTAAAGAGGTAATACTCAGAGAAGGATCTCAAGATCAGTTAGTGAAAGCACATTTTAAATTTCGTAGGCCTTGAAACATTGTAGTGTATATGCTGTTTTTGTTTTTTTGTTTTTGGGGTTTTTTTTGAGAAAGGTCTCACTACGTAGTTGAGACTGACCTGGAACTCTCTATGTAGCCCAGGCTGGTCTCGAACTCACAGTGATCCTCCTGCCTCAGCCTCCTGAGTTCTGAGATTACAGGCGTGTGCCAACACACCTGGCTGTATATGCTGTTTTTGTTTTTTTGTTTTTGGGGTTTTTTTTGAGAAAGGTCTCACTACGTAGTTGAGACTGACCTGGAACTCTCTATGTAGCCCAGGCTGGTCTCGAACTCACAGTGATCCTCCTGCCTCAGCCTCCTGAGTTCTGAGATTACAGGCGTGTGCCAACACACCCGGCTGTATATGCTGTTTTGTATCTGTTCTGGGCTATTCTGATAACACTTTTAGAGACTACTTAGAGCTAGTTACATGTGAGTGCTTAAGATTAAACATTTAGTTCCCAACAACACCATATTTCAAATAGTCAGGCTCTTCCTGTGGCTAGTCGTGGTGACTCAGACAACACAGGATGCACAGAAGGATGATGACTGTGACCCTACTCACTTAGAAAGAGTATTTGGAGATACTTTGTCCCTGAGGAGTGCAGTGGTAACAGTGTGGGATGCTGTCGTCACTTGTCAAAGCCCGACGTCTCCCTTGGCTCCGGCTCTCCATACAGGGTGCAGGGACAGGTAACTCACTGAGGGTGCCACCCAATTGCTCCCATTGTCTGCTTGGAGCTCCACACCGGCGTGCTCATTTCAGGTTTGCAACAAGAACTCTCTGTTCAAAAGTGAGGCCCGCTACCTGGTACGCAGAAAGGATCCCGAACTCTGGGCCCGTGTCCTTGAGGAGACCAACCCATCTAGGAGACAGCTGATTGACCAGGTGAGGCACAGAAGGGGAGGTACGTGTGCTAGCTTTGTAGCTGCTGTTCCTCTCATGGCTCAAGTGACTGTTTATTGTTCCTTCTTTTTGAGACAGGGTCTCATTTTGTAGTTCAGGATGGCTCTGAACTCACTATGTAGCCCAGGCTGGCCTAGAACTGGAGGCAATCCTCCTGCCTCAGCCTCCCGAGTGCTGGGATTCCAGGTGTGCGCCACCGCACTTGGCGCATTGTTACATTTAAGCATCTTACAGCTGTTGCAGACCTTCTTCCCTGCAGAAGTAACTTGCCTAGAAATGGCTCAGTTGCCAAGTGTGCACTGACTTGGAGTTGTTACTGGCTTAAGGAAAGAGTTGGCTCTTACGTCAAGCAGGGTTGGGCAGCCCCCATAAAAGAATACTTGATGGCATGCCTGCGTCTGGGTTCTTAAGTGTTTTCCAGCTCAGCCTCCTGTGGACAGAAGGTAAGTGGCTCTTAACACACCTCAGCTGACTTCCCTTAGTCACCTCTTGTGACTGCCCAGTCCCTCATTAGAGCTGAGTGTAGTGCTGGGACCAGGGTCCGTGCTAGATTTGGCCTCGCAGGTGGGAATCTGCTTCTGCCTCTTGGCAGGCTTCCTTCAGCTCTGGAAGAGGCCTACCGTCTATCACAGCCCCAGAGACATAGCAGATCGTACCCGAGACTGCGGGGCCTGTGTTTCAGGGTCGCCACGACTGATGTGGAAATAACATTGGTCCAGCAAGTGGCTTCAGCATTGAGCATACGATCAGTTAAAGCTCCCACCTTCCCAGTATGCTTTGCCAAACTGCTGGACAAATGCTTTAAACCCTAAGGGCTGGGGTTCACCTTTATCTCTACTGAATTTTACCTTCTTGGTGTTTTTTTTTTTTTTTTTTTTTTTGTCCTATTTTTTTGGTACCGGGGATCAAACTTCTTGGGTCCTTGCACTCGCAAGGCAGTCAGTGGAACCACTGAGCTAAATCCAAAGGCCCCTATGCCATTATTTTTAAATAAACTTTTCGTTTTGAAATATATTTAAATTTATCGAAGTCCATATTGTTTTCAGGCTTTATTATTATCAACTTCAGACTTACACATCTTGAGGATTGGCCTAAAGGTTTAATAACCTTCACGCCTGTTGAACAAAGGGCCAGGACAGAGCCTGCTTAGATTCCCTTAAGAATCTACTCCAAGTTCACAGATAGCAGACGTGTCTAGGCGTAGTCCAGCCACCAGACACACCGCGTGGCTGACGTTGTATCGGTCCTTGAGGAGGGCAGCTTTGACGCTGCACTGGAGTGCAGCCCATGGGGCTTCTTGTCTCCCTTCTGTGTGGAGCTGCTGAGTCCGTCATTAAGTCTGCTCTAACTGAACATCTGTAGCCACCTCCTGGTGGGATAGTCTATTGCAGGATCTCTCTGATTGGGAGCACACACAGGGGCAGACTGCTTTCAGGGTCTCAAGTAGATCCTTACCATACAGAATTTACTTAGGGAAAGCAGTGTCCTGAGATAACCTTAGTTGAGCATTGTGTTGACTTAAACAGAAGGTAGAAATTTAGTTATGCCCTTAAAACAGCTTGTGTGTATGCATTATGATTTTTTTTTCTTTTGAGACAGGGTGTCGCTATGTAGTTCAGGCTGGCCTTGAGCTCACCATGTAGCCCAGGTTGGCCTTAAACAGATGGCAATCCTCCTGCCTCAGCCTACCAAGTGCTGGGATTACAGGTGTGCACCACCATGCCTGGCTGTGTTTTGAGACAGGGCCTTACTTACTCTGTTGCCCAGGCTGGTCTCAAACTCTTGGATTCATGTCCAGCCTTGTGTATATAGCAAATCCCTATCTCAAAACAAATACAAAGCCAAATTCAAGTTCCCAGGCTCAAAAAACCTCCTGTCCCAGCTTCCCCAGTAGCTGTTACCACAGGCACATGCCACCACAACTGGCTCTGTATTTGTTTAAAGTGCTCTATTAAAAAAAATAATAAACTGCTTTTTTTAGATGGTTTTGGATTTTTTGTTTTTTTGCTTTTGTTTGTTTGTTTGATTTTGGTTTTTTTGAGGCAGTCTTACTATGTAGTTCAGGCTGGCCTGGAGCTCTCAGTGATTCTCTTGCCTCAGCCTCCCAAGGGTGGGGATAACAGGGGTGTGCCACCATGCCTGGCTCTAAGGTTTTTAAAAACTGATAGATTTTACTGTTTGGTTGCCAGAAAGCACATTTTCTTCTGTGGATACACCTGGGGAGCTGTGCCATGGCCCTGTTTAGTCTCTTTGGTTGCTTAGCTGCTATGATGGTTCCTTTCTCTGCCTCCTTGCCATGCTGTCTTGATTATTATAAGCCACACCAGGATGGAGCCACTGAGTGCACAGAGTCCACCTGAAAGGCAGATCAGGGCCGGGGATTTAGCTCAGTGGTTCCACCACCTGCCTCACAAGCTCAAGGATCTGAGTTCAATCCCCGGTACCAAAAAAAAAAAAAAAGGTGGACCAGACTTTTTTGATCCTATACTTCTTTTAGGCCCCTCAAGATCCAAAATGAAAGCCAGATGCAAAAGCATATGCCTGTATCCCCAGCACTCGGGAGGTTAAGGCAGGAGGAGCGCAAGTTCAAGGCCAGCCTGCAATCTATAGCAAGACCCTATCTCAAAATCCACAAGATGCAAGGTGAAAATTCCTGGTCAGAGTGTGTCCGCTGTGAGGTGTCCTCAGCTATGTATTGTTCCTCAATCCACTGCCATTACATGCCTCTGAGGAACACCAATAATGCAAAAGTGGTAGATCACGGAAGTCTTTCAGTGAGCACAGGAACAGTGCTGGTATTCTGACCTGCTGTTACTGGGGTGGGTCTCTCCTCCTTGGAAAACTCATTTCACACAGTTTAGGAGGTTCTTGGTAGGTGAGTTACCTATAATCGGGGTGGGGGCGTGGCTGGTCTTTTGTTGGTCTTCCTTCTGGGGTGGCTCTCAGTGTCCTCTGAGAGAAAAAGCTTCATAGCTCCGGTTGCACTTGATCTCCCCTCTGGAAGTGGGCTGTGCCACAGCAACGACAGTGCCCTCTGTGCTAGAATGGTGACTTCACAGAACGAGGTAACAGTAAACTTGCATTTCACATCCCTGTTTAGTGCACTGTATTTGTTTTTAAATACACTTAGTATGATCATTGGAACAGATATTAGTGTCGATAGCTGTTTGTTTTGTTCCAGGCAGGGTCTCACAGTGCAGCTCAGGCTAGCCTCAAGCTCACAGTGACACCCACCCAACTTGTAGCCCTTTGGTTGTTTTTTCTTGTGTGGGTTTTTTTATTTTGTGTGTATGTGGGTGTGTGGTTTTTTTGAGATGGTCTCTCACTATGTAGTTGAGACTGACCTGGAACTCACTATGTAGCTCAGGCTGATCTCGAACTCATAGTGATTCTCCTGCCTCAGCCTCCCGAGTGCTGGGATTACAGGCGTGCGCCACCACACCCGGCCACCCAACTTGTAGCCCTTTGGAGGTGAAGGAAAAAATTGATTATCAAAGTAGAGAGGGCTAGGGATTTAGCTCAGTGGTTCTGCCATCTGCCTTGTAAGCGCAAGGACCCGAGTTCGACCCCTGGTACCAAAAAAAAAAAAAGAGAGAGAGAGAACAGAATTCCCTGAGACCGACTCGAAGTTGCCCTTTCCTTTCTACCTTGAGGAAATCTCCCATGTTCTCTTCTTTGTCTGTTCCAGAATATCTTGGAGGAACCGACCTGTCTGTTCAGCTTCAATATTACTGTCTTTTATTTTTTTGGCAGTACTGATGATCAAACCCAGGACCTCGTACGTGCTAGGCAAGCATTCTATCGCTGAACTTTTACCCCTAACACCAAAGATACAGTCTTGAGTCAACTTTATTTTTATTTTTATCATTTTTGGTACTGGAGATCGGACTTGGGACCTTGAGCTTGCGAAGCAGGTGGCAGAACCACTGAGCTAAATCCCCAGCCCTTGAGTCAATTTAATCAGGTTCTTTTAAATGTTTCTTAAAACCAGGTGGTGCAGACAGCATTGTCAGAGACACAGGATCCTGAAGAGGTCTCGGTCACTGTCAAAGCCTTTATGACAGCTGACCTGCCTGATGAACTCATCGAGCTGCTAGAGAAGATTGTTCTGGATGCCTCTGTCTTCAGTGAGCACAGGTGAGAGAGTGTCGGGGCGGTGGTAGCCATGGTTAGATTCAGACAGCTGCTTGATGTTCCTTCTTCCGGATACCTTGTCTTCCCTCACCTCCAGCTGTGCCACAGGCTTCTTAACTGCCGTTTGTCTTCAGTTCAACTTTCCCTTCTCTTGTTCAAATCCTGCTATCTCTTAGAGCCCAGCTAAAATTCTGCTTTTCCCAGAAGCCTTCACTCCTCAAATTGCTCTGGCCTGTAATACTCTGGAACCACAAGGTTCAGAGAAGGAGAGATATTTTGTAAAAGTCTGCTGTATGCCAAGTATGTGTTCAACGCTTGAAATCATAGTAAACCAAGAAAGCTTAGAAAGAAGTAGCAGGAGATCCAGAACTGTGTATGTAAATAGGAGAGACGTGCTGGAAGTCAGACATAGAAACCACATGCGTGGGAACTGTGCTGGCAGAAGCCGCAGCAGGACAAACGTCTTGGGTCAGAGAATATGTTTCACCATGGTGTTAGCTGACATGTTGCTACTTCAAAATTCAACATCAGAGTGCTAGGCATGGTGGTACACCCGTGGAATCCCAGCACTTGGGAGGCTGAAGCAGGAGAGGTACCACATGTTCAAGGCTAGGGTGGGCTATGTAGTAAGCTCAAGACCAGCCTGAACTCCATAGGGAGACCTTGTTTCAAAAACTTAAATTTAAAAAAATAAATTCATCATCAGAGAGGCTGTGCTAAATTATATTATCATTAATCCTACTATAAAGATTTAATTGTAAAGGGCTGGGGATTTAGATCAGTGGCACCGCTCCTGCCTTGCAAGCGCAAGGTCCCGAGTTCAATCCCCAGTACCAAAGGGAAAAAAAAAGATTTAATTATAAGATTTATTTTGTAGGTCAGAAAGGCTTTTGAGGGCTGGGGATTTAGCTCAGTGGTTCTGCTGCCTGCATTGAAAGCGCAAGGGCCCAAGTTCAATCCCCAGTACTCAAAAAAAGAAAGGCTTTTGAGGGGTGTGGTACTACAGAAAGCACTATGTGTATATTTGTGGGAGGTGTTTTTAAATTTGGAAACACTGGGCCAGGGATTTAGCTCAGCGGTTCGGTGGCCTGCCTTGCAAATGCAAGGACCCGAGTTCAATCCCCGGTACCAAAAAAAAAAAAAAAAAAAAAAATTGGAAAACAGAAGCCAAATTGATACCAAAGGTTTATTTAAAAAGCGCAGCATGAGTGGGGATGGGAGAAACCAGATGTTCAGAGCAGACTTGGGCAAAGCAAGAGAAAAGGAGGATAAAAGTACTTGCTGCATCCGGAAAACGCAGCGTGGGCTATCGTGGATCATGATCTCTCCCGGGTTCTGGTCTCCTGTGTGCCATTCGCATCTAGCGGGAGGGCCCACGAAGTTCCACGGGGGCTCCTGGCACTGTCCTGGGCTCTTGTAATCGACACGCCCCGTCCACTTCTCTGAATAGCTTTGCCACACTCTATAGCCTAAATCACTTCCTTTTGGAAGTTGAGAATCTCTGAGGACCGGAATTATT